ATATAATTTAAGATTTTGCTTCAACCATATCCTTCATAGTCCCATTTAGAGATGGGCAAAAACCGACCGTACCCGACGAACCCGACCGACCCGAACCAACCCGATCGGGTTGGGTCGATTTTTTTCCATTTTTTTGGTGGGTTCGGTTTCTGGAAAAGAGGAGTGGGTCGGGTTGGATCGGGTTGCGGGTTAACTCATAAAACCCGAAAAAAACCACCCAACACGACCCGCCAAAGAAAAAAAAAGGTCCACTAATTCCCAAATCCAAATCCCTCTTCTTCAACACAGCAGGCCCAACTTACATAGCCCAAACCCAAATCTCCTCCTTCTTCTTCAACACACAGCCCAAACTCCAATCCATTCAAAATCAAGAGCGGTCTCGAACTCGCGATTTCACCCGATTCACTCTATGACTCAACCCTAATTCCCTCCCTCTTCAAAATCAACAGCAGTCGCGACTCGCCCGTCGACGCCGTCGGCTTCCTCTTCTCTCTTTCCCACCAAAGGTATGGCAAGTTAATCATCTCTTCAATAGCATTGTTTATTTGTTTTGCTTGATTTATTTTTTACATGTTCTACGATTTGATTTTACAGCCTGTTGAGTTGTTTACGAATTATTTATTGTTATTGATTGCTGAATGTTATTGATCGTCTTAGCCCCTGCACCGTTCTTCTTCTTCATCTTCTCGTCGTTCTTCTTCGTCTTCTCACCCCTACCCTCGTTCTTCGCCCCTGCCCGTTTTTCTTAATTGATTGTTGTTACTACTATTATTATTATAAATCAATGTTTACATAAACACTCTATGCAGCTTCATCATTTAGTGTATTGCAGTGACTTGAAGAAATTAGATGTTGTTTAGGTTTAAAAGATCCTAGCTTTTTTATTGTTTGATCTGGGATATTTGATATTAATTTTATTGTTTGATCTGGAATTAGAGTGTGATGGATTCTTTGTAAATTGAATTGAATTTCTAATAAGATTTTAAGTATTTCCTTGTGTAAATTTTGGCAGACTGCAAACACATTGGACGTACAGGCTTTGAAGACTCCTAATTTTCCATCAACACAGGACTTCCTTTGCCTAATATGAAGAAGAAGAAGTTCGAAAAGTATTGGGGTAAAATGGAAAATGTAAATCAGTTGTTGTTGTTTGCTACTATTCTTGATCCAAGATACAAAATGGATTATGTTGAATACTGTTTTAATTATCTATACAGAGATGGGGAAGTTGTTAATATCATGATGAAATCTTTGAAAGTCAATCTAATGCATATTTATGAGTGGTATGTAGCTCATGAAGGTGTTCATGGAAGTAGTCAAATATCTACTGATGAGTTTTTGAGTTCTTTCAATATAGATAATGGCAGTTCTTCTTCTATGAGTAATACTCACC